GGGTGGGGGAGACACGGGGAAGAAAGAGAGGTGCTGGGACTGCCCTGAATGTTGGTGGTCTCTAGTGACTTAAGTCAAATTTGGCTTTTTATCAAGTTTGGTTTTTCCCATTCCCTGCTTATTCCTAACCTCAGGAATCATGGGGCTGTCTACTGCTGTGAGCCAATGGGAAGAGGCTGTCTGTTGACAGCACGGCACCTCCTGGCTCAGGTTTCACAGCTCTGTGATACCCGGTAAGGGGGGTTTTCTTGGTTCACAGCCAGCCAGAAAGTTCCGTGAGTCCCCTGGGCAGGGAGTGAACAGTGGTCTTTGGAGGAGTGTGTGGGAGGCTTGAGAGTGTGCTTGGTAACATCTAGAACTCTGACAAAGAGTTAAGTGAGCATGTAGAAGCCAAGATCAGGCAGCAGGCTTTCCTGTGACCAACACTTCTTCATAAGCTCTTGAGGGCCTCACTTGCCAATTACCTGCAGAGTGTTCCGGAAGGTGGGCAGGAGGTCCATCAGAGTGGGCCTCATGGACCAGTCTGGGTCACTGAAATAGCAGCTTCTTAGGCTGATGCTCCTGACTGGAATCTCCTGCAGCAAGATCCGGGCCAGGCGCTCATACTTCATGACTCGCTCGAAGAAGAAGTTCACCTTCAGGCTGCCGGCCTGCCTAGCCAGCTTGGCCCAGGACATGCCCCAGACTACCTGGCCATGGGGGTCGTGAACGTGGCATTTGATGTTCATGGTCCGGAGGGTGCCAGCATTGTTCTCACTCAAGGTCTCGAGCAGCTCATCAGAGATACAGTTGTAGTTGAGTGTTAGGAATGTCAGGTTGTGGAATGTGGCCATCGCCTTGTTGAACTGGGAGCTACCATAGACGGCCAGGTGGTGGCTGAAGAAGTCCTCAATGTTGAGCTCTGAGGCCAAGTTCTCATTCCGAAGGTAGCTCAGGGAGTTGAGGATGTGGCAGCCTTGCTCCACTGTCAGCCTGGGCCCTTTCAGGCTAAGATGGTCCAGGTGTTTGCCCATCTTCTTTAAGAAAAAACTCAAGCTCTTGATGAGTGAGCCTCTGATGCTGTTTCTCCAGACCAGCCTGTGCAGTTCCAGGTGCTGGATGGAGAGTGATTTCAGACGGTTGTTACTCTTGCCAAGGCACGACAGGAGGCCTCTCATGGTGACCTGGAACTTTTTGGTCAAGACGGCATTGTAAGGGTTCAGGAACTTGATTTCCAAGTGTTCCAGGTAGCGGCCGAATTTCTTAACATACCAGAGTGCTGACTCGAATTCGGATGCATGTACCCTGGATGGCCTCCCGCTGAACGTGATGGTCCTGTATCGCCAGAGGTCAGCTGAGTACATCATCTGGTTCCACTTTCTGCAGACCAGGGCAGCTCTGGACCTATCCCTGTCTCCCAACCACCAGAAAATACGTCGCAGGCAGGCAGAGAAGCCCAGCAGCTCTGCTCTTGGGGCTGGATCATCTCACCCTCTTCATCCATCAAAGGACCCAGATGTACAGTGTAGCAGTCTGGTGAGCAGGGCTTCCAAAACGGGGAAAGAAATGCAGTCACGTGTTCTCTGTGAGGGGTCAAAAAGCCGAAACTCAATTGAACGAACTTCCTCTGTGCTTCTACTGTACTGTGGCAGGCGCTGCACCAGATGTAGGCTGTTCCTTGGTGAATCCAGGACACCCCCCCATCTGTGAAGACTGCATAATTCACCAGGAGTCACAAACCAGCACCTAACTTCAGCTCAGTGAGATGCTGCCTGTTCCTGTAATCCTAGGACTCAGGAGGCTAAGGTGGAAGGAACATAAACTCAAGGCTAGCCTGGGTTACACAGGGAGTCCCAGTAACCTTTATGTAGCAAGACCCTGTCTTCAATAAACCAAAACACCCAGTGAGTGCTAACACAGCAAGAGAAGTGAGGAGACCCACGCATGCTCACTATACAGGGGGATAGACAGCACAACTAGGAAGTGACTAGTTTCCTGGTAAGGAGGAAATGCTGAGGGCTGCTCAGAGGAGGTGATATCCGAGGTAAGTTTTGAAGGATGAGTAAGATTTATAAGGCAGACCCGGCTGGCCTAGTGGCAGAGGAAAAGCTGATTGCATTTCTGCAAGAGGAAACAGTTATGTGTGAAGCCACAGAAGTATGAAAACGTGATGTGGGCATACTGATGAGAGTAGCAATTGCTTTCTTATCATGAACCTGTAAATTCTATTTAACAAAACAAACAAGCAAACAAAACTTTGATTGCTTGTAAACAAACTACCCAAGGTTATATAAGCTCCTACCAGGGACAGTGTGGATCAAGAGGCCAAAAGGCAATATGGGAAAATGAAAACAAAAATGAAAAAACAAGAGCTGGGACGTTGCTTGGTAATAGAGTGCTTGTCTAACACACTCGAAGCTCAGGGTTTGATCCCCAGCACTGTGCAAATGGTGTTTCCCAGAACGGTGTGTGTGTGTGTGTGTGTGTGTGTGTGTGTGTGTGTGTGTGTGTGTATGTGTGTAGGGGTTCAAAGAGGAGTGCTGCTAAATCAAACCCAGGCAAAGTCACAGGCTACAGACATCTGTGTACACATGTGCTGTGGTGCTGACATATGTGTGGAGGTCAGGGGACAGCCTCTGGTACAGGTTTTCACCTTCCAGCTTGTTTGAAACAGGGTCTTTTGTGAGGTTTCTTCTGTTTACAATTTCTCTTATTGTAGCTATCCTGGACTACAACTGCAGCTTTATATGGGTCCTGAGGATTCGAACCCATGTCCTCACACCTGCATGGCCAGTGCTTTACCCACTGAGCCTTTCACTGTTCCTGAGTT